AATAAGTGGCAGATGTAAGATTTTTCTTCTTTTTGCACCATTTTCATTCAATGTTTTTTTTTTCTTTCTTTTTGATGATTTTTTATTTTTTTATTTTGTTCCTTATAAATGAATAAACGGATTAAATGTTGAGCATCGTTTTACTCTTACCAAAACAAATACACTGTTCGTGTCTTTGTGTGTATCGTTTTTGTTTTTTTTTTCATATTTTTGTTTACAAGTGAGGGTAATTATTTTGAAGGACTAAATCCGGAAGTGACATCGGTGGAGTAACCTAAAATAAAGTCCTCCGGCAACACACCCTGTGGGTGTTTACAGACCGGCTGCGTGTAATTAAAGGAGCAGAATGACGTTTTAACCGAGTGTAGAAGCAGCTCAGCTCCACCATGTCCGGAGCTTTAGCCAGGCTGCTCTTCTACCCGACCTTAGGCTACAATGTGCTCATGGAGAAGGTGTCGTCGAGGCGCTGGTTCGACCGGGTGGACGGGACGGTCCTGCTGGGGGCTCTTCCGTTCAGATCCATGACCAAACAGGTCAGAGGTGCACACTGTCACTGTCAAACATTTCCATTAATCCATAACATCTGTCTCACTTCATTAGCAGCCACAGTCTGTGATGAGCTACATCACTGGACCTGAACTGTGTCCGGGTTCACATCGTTGGACCATTTGGGTCAAGTTCAAGGAGTTCTGGTCCCTCAGCAGGGGCTTCTGTAGTTCTGACCAAAACCAGCACAGGAAGGAAAATTTATAAAGTTATAACTTGAAGTTGATGAAAACCAATTAAACTTTAAAAATGATCGTCTCTGTTTTAATGAGAGGAGTGTTTTCAATTTACAATAAATAGTAACACTGGTCTAATTATTAATATTTAACCATATATATTCTTCAATAATAAGAGTTTGGACATTTTCATTGTTAAAAAACATAAAAATCATAACAAGCGTCAGTTGTTTATTGTTGGTCTTTAATTCCGCTCCAGTTGTTTAGGAGGACCGCTGCAGGTGTTGACCTTTGTTTGACCTTCATTCTTGCTCTGACCCAGTGGAACAGAATGTGGTCTGACCTGTTCAAACATGGGGAGGTTTCTTTGGAAAAGGCACGCTTGTAGCTCCAGTCCTGTTAATAATAGTGTGAACTGCAACGATGACGTGCACTGACAATGATCCGGTGATGAAGACTTTCTTCCACTGATAATTAACCAGATGTTCCATCTCGTCTTCATCCTGGAGGACACAACATCATTAATATATAAAATGTTCTCTACCTCAGTATCATCAGGAATCTGTTATTTTGCCCCAGTCCATCTTAGACCAGATCAAAACTGGAAACTAATGGAGGAACCAAACCTGTAAACCAATACCCTACCAGTTTATTTATAGAGCATTTAAAACAGCAGCAAGGCCAACCAAAGTGCTGTACAGCAAAACAAAACAAGCAAAGTACACAGGATAAAATACACAGATCACACAGAGGTAGAGACAAGAACTAAATGATTAACTTTATAGAATACAGACGAGTTAAAATCGACTCACACAGTGTTTAAATTCAGGGAATAAAAACAAGTTTTTAAGTGAGACTTAAAAACAGTGAGAGAGGAGCCTGTCTGCCATGCAGTGGTAACTCATTCCACAGTTTGGACCTGCAGCAGAGAAGGTCCGGTCACCTCTGAGTTTAAGACAAGTGCCTGGACCCAATAAAAGCATCTGGTCTGCTGACCTCAGAGAGGCTGTGGGACATATGGCTGCAGCAGATCAGAGCGATAGGAGGGGGCAGAACTGTTCAGATTAACAAACAGAAGTATTTTTAAATGAATTTGAAAGTGAACTGGGAGCCAGTGCAGGGAGGACAGAACTGGAGTAATGTGCTCTCTTTTGCCTGTACCAGTTAAAAATCAGGCTGCAGCATTTTGAACCAGTTATAAATGGTAAATGGACTGTACTTGTATAGAGTTTATCTGATCAAGACACTCAAAGCTCTTTACAACACAATCTGTCCTCATTCACCCATTCATACAGCTCTATACTAGATGTGTACAAAGACTAATCAGAGCTTTAGATCACATTCACTCGAGCCTGGATGTTATTAAAGCATGCGTCGGTGTCTCAAGGTGACTTTTGGACAATATGGACTTCAAGTTAAACAAACGGTCACCTCAACTGAACAAAACGGGATTTAACAATCGGGTTTACATGACTGTTTAGTTTCATGGAAGGTCCATTATCACTCCCAAAGGAGTGACGCTATCCTGAAGGTTCTTATTAGATTATGAATAAAAACAGATGTGATCCTCAAATGTATTAAAAAATGCCATTTAAAATACTCCAGTATCTTTTCAGATGTATTGATGCGCAGTTCTGAATTGTAGGTCCACACTTGATGTGAACAAAGCACCAACACGTATAAATGGTCAGACTTTTCCTTCCAACATGGACGTCACTATTGTTGACCAGCTGTTAATCATTTCAGATGTTTCCGTGGATAAACAAACACTTTGTCTGTTTCTGTTGGTAAACAAACACCAGTAGTGGTTGGCAGTCATACACATTCACGATTTTCTGTTTAAAACCATAATAGCTGTTAAAATGTGCAGATTTCTTTATGTTTAAATTTTAATGTTTCTAACACCATTTCTACATAATCACTGGTAAATGACTTTTTGGAGTCAATGTAGCTCAGACTCAGCAGGTTTTTAAAATAATAATAATTTAAACTCTCAGCTGCTCAGCTCTCCTCCTCAGTCTTTGAACGTAAATAACCGACCTGTAATCAACTACCAAGATAAGAGATAAGACAGAACTTTATTGATCCTGCAGGAAATTGTTGTGCTAGAGTTTCAGCACAAAAGGAACATACACAAGGAATCAGACAAGATATAAAAAATGACAGATAATATAGAAATACCATGAATGAAGGTATAAACGGGTCAGGTGCAGACGTGCGTGAAATGTTTTATTATGAACATTAAAGTGTTTATTGTGGTGCAGCATTAATGTTATTATATGTGCAGCCTGCAGGACAGGATCCACCTGCAGAAAACTGTCCCTGTCTGTTGTAAAATGACTGGATTAGGACCCCGTCTGTTGTCTGTGAACACAACATGGGGTCATACCGGACCCTTCACACGCCCTCTTCTCATCAGTGGCTTCCATCAGGTCACGGCTTCTCTGTCCTGCCTGCAGGACACAGAGGAGAAGAGCTTTGTGCCCTGGACTGTCCGCTCGTAAACAACTAGTCCTGCTTCTTAATATTCATACAGACATAAACAACT